ACTGAACCTGAATGATCTTATACAGTAAGAAAGAAATGCAAAGATGGAAGCAAAAGGATGCTAGAAAATTGGTTATGGTGTCTCCTTCTTACAATCTGTAGCATTATCATAACATCAACCCTAGCTGTCGTTTTAAAACTGCATTGGGATTATGTTAACAAGCAGGAAGCACCTGAACTGAATTGGACTGAACACTATACAAGTTCTTTGATCATGAGGACTACCTCCAAGAACCATCTCAAAAGGAGAGACACAACTCACAGTGAAATGATTGCTAATGTGACCTACACTGGTATTTAACAAGGAACCTATTGAGATTATTCCAAAAACCGATTATATGTGAGAAAGATGTGATTGGACTATTACAAATCCTAATAATGGACTCAACAATGATGGCAAAGCATGCTGAAAACAGAGACGGGAAAGATGCTTATGAAAGACTTTGGATGCACCTATGAAGGTGATTAAGAAAAGACTTTGCCATATAGTTTATCATTGAATGACTACTGCAAACAGCCTTCTTATGCTGAAAAGAAGTGCTATGCTAATTCTGGACATTGCTGTTATGTTTCCAAACAGACGATAACCGGAAAAAATAAAGGTTGATAACTGTCAACACCCAGCTATTTCTCAAGATGGAACATGGTACTGAGAAAACCTGATTGACTATCAAAGCACCTCACAGTACAAGACACAGATTGTTGCCCACAACTCAGAAAAAGTGGTTAATTGGAAGGAGCAGAAGAAGAGGAATATAGATTTCCTACTGGAGAGAAAAACCATCCTGGAACAATATTCTCTAACAATGAACTTTACAATGACATTTGGTGGCATATGAATTTGAATTCGGTAGAAACACATCAATTAACGAAAGAAACCTTGATGCAATTAATAAATAATAACAAGACCGGCTTACTAAGAGCAGATGCCCTGCCAAGAGAATGGAGTATAAAAGGCCGGCAAAATCTTTCAGAAACCTGACATCACGGGACACTTGTACTAAAGCACGATTTGCAGCCTTTCTTAAACTCTACATGTTATGTACATACCTGCAAAGCAAGGAACTCCTGTAAACATAAACACAGAGACATTGATACAACAAGGAATCTGTAATGGTTCTGTTGCAGATGTAATCTACCAATATACGCCTTGCTCTTTTGGTCTAACTATACCAATCAAAACATTAAATGGCTCCATAGAATCAAACGACAAAGCATTCTTGCTATATTCTGGACGTCCAGGAATGTGGTGCATGGACCGAAAATTATAATTACTAAAGCAATCGTGCTATTTTTTTCCCTGTATCAGAAATGTGTCAGTGACAATGTGTAATATAATACAGATACTATAATTAATGGTATAAGAAACACATAATGTGTTAATTACAAAGGTGGATAGACTTTGTGAATATCTGAAACACAATTGAAGATTATTGCTAAAATGCCATATGCAGCTGCAGTCTGGCCTACAAACAAATATATTAAACTTGCGTATAAGAGCATAATAGCTGATTACCCAGATAAATAATTGAATCATGATAGTTAAAGATCATATGATTGCAATAACAACTGCAATAATGCATGTTTTAAACTTTAGAAGAAAATGTGAAATGTTTTTATTAAATCAGAAACTACTCGATATTCGTTTAAGTTTGCAGAGTGGTATAATTAATATAAGTGAAATACATTTAACTGAAAGACATGCAGAAACTTTACTTCTACTATTATACAGTTTATTTATAATGATAATAATATTCAGTCTGCCAGAGCTAAGGCCAGTAAATGGAAAGTAAAAGAGTATTATGGATTAACCCGTCCAGGTGATATACATGATGATTTTGGAAATTGATCATTTAGGTCATCTATTGCAAACTGGTGAAAAGATGTAAAAGATATAAATTCAACATCCATACCACTCTATGTATATATATATATATATATATTAAAATACACGTAATCAAATATTTTATCAGTTTTTCAAATACCAAGAAAATGTTATTTGGTTTGTGCTGGTTAAAGGTACATACACCTTGTGGTAATGATCCTGCTACATCTATTGATTGTTTAATCAATACATCATGCATATGATTATTAATTCATATTCTGATTGTAACATACCCCCACTTCAAACCGTTATAGTTACAACAGATTCTGATATATGTAAAAAACAGGAATAAGTGCTTTCTATCTATAAATAAGCTGCAATTCACCAACAAGGTGTTCCCCTAACCTTGTGAAAAAACAAAGTACCATCTACCACGTATGTAACATATATTTTTATATATGGTTAGCGCTGTTCACCTTTCTATTTTATATACCAGATTCTGATATACATTGTTATGGAAGTGTTAAAACCACTTATACAAAGGTAGAGCTAACATATAAATACCTTCAATATTGTATCTGAGTGCTTTTTTAACTCACTTTTAGAAATAATAAAAAAAATCCAAATCATCTTAAGCTACACCCAACAGCCTCTTGTAAATATACTTAAACAATTAAGATTCACATTGTTAAGCATCCAATCTCACGAACGTAACTTTCCACAATGGCTGTCAGATCTTGGTAAAAAATGTTTTCTAAGACAATATTTGGGGGTTTCTGGTATTTTAAGCCACTAATAACTGTAGTTATTATATTTACTAATAATAACTAGGGAATAAGTTGTCTTCTCCCTAACAGGTCAAAGAAAGATAATTAATGTCATATTTCCAATTAGCAACTATTCTAAACAGATTGAGAGATTTTGAATAAAGCAGTATTTTTTAACAGTCAAAGAGAATGTAATTTTACATACCATTGTGAACAAAGGTGGTAAAGGCTGCTTAAAATTATCCTTATAGTTCTAAATCATATACAAGAGTGTTTATCTTTAAAACAAAACACTAGAAAGATTAACTGTTACTATTTCATCTATCATTATTATACAAAGTATAACAAATGTAAAGATTTTTCCACAGATTTTACCTGTTAACATTTTAGCACAACAGCACCTGATGTCAGTGAGATGTCAATCACTGAGATGTTACAAAGATTCCAATACAGCAAAAAAAGGCATTCTTGAGAATCCACTTCAATTGCTGTATCAACATAACATTTACTTTAATGGGATCCATGTCACTTAAGACAATGTCTTGGAAATGCGGTCAAATAAATTATTCCGTAAAAGAATATCGGAGGGTATCCAATCTATACACATCATAAACGGTGTAAAAATGTTTCATGGAAAAACAAAATAACAAGCAAAGACAAAAGACAAAGACAAATACCAACGCCATCACCACGGTGATAACAGATGATGTTGATTCAACCAATTCTAGCCAAATATTTGGAAAGCTGGACTCTACAACCAATACTAAACAACTAATACCCGGGTATTCTATAAACACAACCTCCAGCAATGATTCTAAGGAATGTAAACTTCTACAGGCCTTTAAAGACTTTGGATTACAAGTACAATTACTACTTTTAACTTTGGATTACAATTCGTATCCGGATCTATCCAAGAATATCTTACTCTGGAACCTGGTGTTCTTTTCAATTCTTTCCCAGACAAAAGCTTTGCTCATTTTAATCAACCACATTTACAGGCAAAGATCACACTATGGATGTTTTACTGTTACAACAATAATCAAAGATGCTGGGAGCATAAAAAAACCTAAAGACTGTTGGAGAACTTTGGTTTACTAATTTAAGGAAGAAATGCGCTACAATGCCCACAGTTTAATGGAGAGGGTGTTATGGGCAAATACAAATATTACAAGTTTTAGAATGAAATGTTGTATTTCTTAAACTGTGTATTTTGTCTTTAAGAGATATTGCAAACTGACAAGGTGTTAGAAATGGAACATATTGTTTTTCATAACTGTTTCTTTAAGCAATAACCTCAGTGCATAATATGTTTGCGCCATTTTGTCCCAGATGAATTACAATAACAATGCATAAACAAGCTTTAAGGCTATGCTACGACTCTTGCAGTACACAATATACTGTGGTAACCCCAAGTTAATGGAACTTCCCCAAATCCGGGAATCTCCCACGACTGTACACTTACGACTTAGTATAAACAACAGATAACCTATTCAGACTTTAAGATGCCATCTTGAACTAAGTCAGGAAAATTTCCATGACGTATACACCCTTTAGTTATGGTCTTGTATGTTTGCCAGATTAAGGGAGGTCCTAAACTGAATAAAGTAAAAGAAGTGTTACTTTTTCATATTTGAACTACAGTAACCTAAAATGGAGACACCTAAGGTATAAATAGGTGTACTTTTAAATGTTAAGACACAGAGGAGAGACTTGGAGACAGACGCTGCTCCATCTTAAAATGACAGAGGCTGACATGATGACATGTTCAGAAGGGTATGTTAACCTATTAATGATATTTGCAAGCATGTAATTTAATCTTATAAACTCTGCTATAATGGATTTTATATTTTTATATAATAAATATCCAAAAAGACAAAACTATTGCTTCCAAGACAATCCTTATTTTATATTGTATTCTCAATTTATATATGTTAAATAGAGGATCTCTTACTAACTATATAAAATTATGGCTAAGATATCTGTATGGTTAGCCCTACTAAGTGCTATGCTTTAAGACATTATAGTGGTAAATAAGGGAACCACCACGGTTACACTAGGATGAGTGTAACTGGTGTTCTTGCATAGAAACCGGTGGAGGCCTAGAAAAATTCAGGAGCTATGGATTAAACCCATTAAATATTTAATAATTTGTGAATGCTGTGACAGTATGCTATAAATAACCAATTTTCACTGTGATACGTTTAGAGTGTATGCAGTATTGAGGCATGGACATGGTTGAAAGCATGATGAGTAAATAGTATACCTGGGTTTGTAAATACAAGACCTTGAATTTACTAACTTTAAGCAGAAATAAGAGAAAACGAGGCAATCTGTGGAGCCAAAGAAATGTGACAGGGGAAGGATTAATGACTGCGTAACTTTAAGGAGAAAACTTAGTAAAATAAAATTGTAGGGATTTTACCAGTATTACCCTAGGAGATTGTGTAATAATAATATATGTATGTTGTGTTTGAACAGGGTTGTGGAATTTATAGCATTCTGCCCTTTTGTTTGGTGTCAGAAGGAATTTATTTTTAGATAAAGGAACGTAAAACATAATTTACTAACCACATGGGTGTAGAAAAAAAACTGATTATTAAGATACAGTGGCTATGGTTTTAATATTTTAGACATAGTTAACCGGAAAACACAGTTTAGGTGATAAATCGTTGTAGTTTTTTACATGTATTTAATAACTCCTACTGACAGGTAATACAAATGGTTAAATAACCAAACAGACAGTATGTGTAATAAAGTGAATTCATGTGCACGAAATGTTTGTATTATACTGAACGGGGATCGGTAGTTTTAGCTGAACGAGGGACCTGCTTAGGTTAAGTATAATGTGCGTTCGTTTACTCCTGCACCAATAGCATGAATTAGGAAAGTTAGCGAGGGGTGAACAGGTTTTACCGAATTCGCTTAAAATGCCCGAACGGGTAAGTAATAAGTACATGGTTCGTGCGTATGACCGAACGGTAAAACAGAATTGAAACAATTAGCCTTAGAGTTATGTTCGTACGTAGTTCGGCAGTTTAGATAGTGCGAAAGCCCCCATGAAACGTAAGTATAGCGAGCGTTCGACAAGATTAGTGGCGTGAACGCGGAAATGCATGAATAGGTAAGGATGCGTAAATTGGTAATGTGATAGAAAAAGGGAGCCTACCCCTACATTTTTAGGCCCAAACGGAGGGAAATAGCCGAACGCTATTTCCCGCACAAGCTTACTTGAGCGTGCCGATCTCATGACCGGAAGCCAAGTACCGCGGCCGGGAAGAAGGCTGGTGGCAGGGCTGCAGAACGGATGGAAGATTCCACTGGACACCTCTTACTGCAGGAGATTGGAGCCGTTTGGCGGGAAGCTCGGACTGGAAGTGCTGGTTGCTATGGAGCCAGACAATCAACTGAACCGGCAAAGGTGAGTAGGGGCTGGGAGTTTAAGTAGGGGACTTACTCCTCCCACAAATTCAGGCCTAATGGCATTTCTACATATGCACTTAGTGCCAGGACACCTCAAGGCACTCAGTAAATGCAGAGAA